ACCAGAATGACAATTGCCAATAGAAAAGACACAAGAAATTCTTGTACAAGAAAAATTATGAGTGATTATGATTTTTTGTCTCATCAATCAAAATCTGTATAACAAAAACTATAGATATTCAAAATAAATCAACAATGCATTTACCAAAATTAAAAAGTAAAAGAACTGAACACAAAAGAAAATTTAATTAATTGCATATTACAAATAAAAGTAGAAATTTTAAAAAATCATGCACTCCACAAGAAAAAGGAGTAAAAGTTGTGTCTGTGAGATAGAACTATTAAAGATGTAAATAAGTTTAATGTAACAGATGCCAATTGTAATTAAAAAATACCATTTTTTTTAATAATGCAAAGAACATAAATACAAAATGTAAAGACCCCATTACATTCAATTGGATGAATAAGATAACTACTATTTTAATACAATAAATCCTAAATTTGAAACATGTTCCTTTGATGAAAACTTTTGACTCTTATTTGTATAAAGATAGTTGCTAAAATTCCTTTTTTAGATGTTGCAGCTCAGCAAAGGATTATGTGGTATATATTTGTTTTTGTTTTTATATTTTTGAATCTTTTCATTTGTATCTTTGGAAACAAACTGAAACTTAATTCTTTGACACTAAATATTAGATCTCATATTAGTGGACTTGTGGTATGCAACAGAAAAAAAGAAAAAAAGAAAAAAATATATGTATTTTAATTCTCTAAATCCTTTGTATCCAGATGATGAGTTCATGTGTAGTTGTGTCATAGAACTTTTACTCTCACAAAACATTTCCCCTATTCTTTTCTGCATTTGTTGATTATAAAAATAGAATACATAAATTATGTTGAGTTAATTTTTTAAAATTATCAGATCCAATATGAGACATTCTAATTAAAAGTCACATGTCAACAATATTTTGTGTGCAACAGATTGCAATAATTGTTGCAATAAAATATGTTAATAAATTTTGATATATTGAGATTGTTATATAAAAGTACAAGAACATGATAGATCCTACAAAATCATTGAACGTTTGTGTTATTCCACTGCAACAACTAAACTCAAGGAGAAAAAAAAATTAAACAATTACAAAATAAAACTAACATGCCCAAAATTTTATAAAACTGAATATGTTCATAATTTTCCTAATACAAAATTGGAGATTTGGTGGTTTTCTGAAATACCATGATTTTTTTTAAAAAATAAAATAAAAATGAAAACAAAAAAAACAATAAAAAGGTATCATGTTCCTGTTCATACTTTGATTGAATCTTGAAAGGTTCGTTTACTTCATTTCAGGTTTACATGAAGTAATAAGAAGACTTAAACAAAAAAAACAAAAATAAAAAAATAAATACTCTATTTTGAAATAAAAAACAAATGGTCAGCACACCCAACTGCAAAATCCTGACATATTGTCAGTGAGTGTTCTAGTCGACACTCACTGACTTTGGGTGGTTACCACCAACCTCCTCTACAAACTTGCAAAGAAGCTTGCTTTTGTGTCAACTACTCTTCCATTTTTGTATTTTTGTATTTTTTTTTTTTAGGGTTGCCTTTGGCTGGGCTGTAGTAGTAGTAGTACTCCATGAGACTGGACAAAGAGGAGGTTTTTGGTGTGGTCCCAGCGACCGTGCTGATGGGGAAGCTTCACCTGGCTGGCTGGCTGCAAGCTTGCAAGGATTCTCCTGGAAAGCATTACGAGGAAAGCATGCTCATCAGAAGAAGAAGAAGGAGAAGAAGAAGGAGAACTAATAGTGTGACCAAGGCATGGTGGTGGGGGGACTCTATCCATCAATAATAATAATATTTTCATTCATTCATTCACCCACATACTATTATACATTTATTTATCCACGCACTGACTCTCTCTCTTTGTTTGTTTGTATGTTTGAATGTTTGTTTTTGTTTTGTTTTTTGTTTTTTTGTTTTTTTTTATTGCTCACTGGCAGTGAGTCCCCACCCACTTTATCATCCCCACCATCATCATCCTCTTCTTCCTTTCCTTCCTCTCGGCGTTGTTTGTTACTGACTGACTGACTGACTGACTGACTGTGAGTGTGTGTGGGTTGTGGTCCATTGCAGCGGGTACCGCCCATGCGAGGCACTGAGAGCACAGCCACCTCTTGGTCACACTCCACAATTACATACTATAAGAAGAAAGTCCACTGGAAACGAGTTCATGAGCAGAAATAATTTGAGCTGAAACCCGTGTGTGTTGCCGCATGGGCATTCGGACGCTTCTTCATTCTGGTCACGAGTTTTGGGGTCCTGAGTAACATGACCCTTCTACAATTCTGGAACTGTAACCGTTGTCTTGGTCCCACAGAGAAAGAAGTCCAGTTGGGAGTTGTCTGTTTTAGTTGAGCTTTCATCATGGAGAGGTCAAGGCTGCACTAGAAGTGTGGAGCACGTTGATCAGGAAACACCGGCTGCAAAGGCGGGGAGAACCTGGAGCCTTTACGTGGTGCGACACTGTTAACGACGAATGTTTCTAATTGTGGACCTTGACGACCATTATCCGCTCCTCCTTCCGCCCTTCATATCGGCAGCCATTCACAGTTACTGGTGTCAGGGTTTCGTCCGCGACGATCGCACTTGGAATCCATTATATTTTTACTTCCACTTCAATGTTCCTTGACGTTATCCCCAGCCCTGAACTACTACGCCTATATTTATTCCCATCGGAACAGAATCCAAATTATTCAACAATTATCCACCGCGCAACTACAGTCTCACTCTCCCAGGTTGCAGGCCCCTGGGGTCGGGGAACAGCTAATACCCTTCGCATGTTTACCTCCGACAATCCTTTTAGTTGTGGATCATTCCGAAATGAATGGAATAGTGGGCCTGATGGTGCCCTCTCCAGCAGGTAGTCGTGCCCATTTTTCGATCACGTACGTCGACCAGCATTATAGCCTCTTCGTGTGATGAATGGCAACAAATACGAAGCACGGATGAATCTCTGGTGGCACTGTAGCAGGATTTGCATGTGCGCGGCCATTACGTTTTGAAGCGGGCGATTCATCGCTGTCCTGGAACCTGGCCTCGAAGTCAGCGAGGTGCTTTGTGGGCTGTTGTTTTCCAGTCTAACTGCAAATCTCTGGGTCTCGTAGCAAGGAGTGAAGTTTACAGGAGCGTGTTGGTGTTCAGATTATGTTAGGCGGGTCTAGGAGAAGCAGTTAGGGCAGCGATCATGAGAAACGATGAGAATGAGGGGTGGGAATGCAGGTGCGCTTACAAGGGGGCAGGATCAGTGGGCACCCCAGGCGCGGGGATGGGGATGCTGTGCGAGTCGTGCCTGCAGTTTCTGAAGCAGTGTCCGCCGAAGAAGCGGCTCAAAGAGCACTGCATGTCGCGTCCCGTGATTCTGAAGCCGGCAAGTGGTGGCGCGTTGGCGCTGGATCGTCTGGTGGAGGTTGCGCTGTCGCCAATTGAGCTCCGCAGCTCGTACCGGATTGGTCCCAGAATGGTTTCCGAAGTGGGGAGCGCTGTATTTGTAGAGACAAAGAGTGCTGGATATGTTGGAAGTGAAGTTAGCAGATGTCGATTAGATGCTGGGGATGGGGCAGCCAAGAGTGTCGAAGCCAACGGGAGATGTAATAGTATCAATAAAGTGCACACACATGCTGCGGGGTTTCCATTCAATCAAACCAAAATTAATCCAGGATTTAATATTCCACATCGAGAGATGGAGACTACCAAGAACTTGAAAAGGCCCTCTTCGTTCAACGAAATAGCGCAGTCGAGGCTGAGGTCATCGTCTGTGCAAGATGCGGATCAATCCAGGAGGTTTACGCCACGATTCAAGTCGCTCGTGGACTTATCGTGTTAGATCTGTCACAAAATAAAGCTCCTACAGATTGTTCATTCTTCTTAGGATAGGAACTCAGCGTTTGATCGGAAATATCATAACCATCGACGGAATTGGATGAAGTTATTCACGTTTGGTGCCGGCCGCAGAGATCTTAAATGCCTGCACCCACGTTGGACCCATTTTCCCACGTGTTTTGAGCGTGTGTGTAACTGGGTCCTTTGCAAGCTGCTACTGTCATGGTTATGAAATTAGTATCAGTGAAGGCAGAGGATTGGAGCAGCGAACTATCGAAGACTAGCGGCAGAAAGAGGTTGACTCGAGGGTTCCGCTCTTGGCTACCGAGGTTCAACGCGATAAATTGCCTTCAGGAGTGGTTTGGGATGTTACGGTGGAAACCTGAAAGCAAATAAAATGCAAGTCAACTTTGGCATACTAGCGAGTAGTGCAGCGCATGCGGCTATCTGCTCAATTGACGTTACTAAGTCAGTCAATCAACGCCTTGTTTTAGAGCTTGGTATCAAATTTTTGAATATTGGTTTGGGATCACGAGGTTGTGCAGGACATGGTATGGATCAGTGACTCTCAAGGTCAGGCACACGCAGTACTGGGAATACCTATCATACAGCAGAAGCTATGGCTCGGTCAAGCATATTGGCAATGGGATGTATACATGAGAGGAAGTAGAAGGTCCCCCCAGTCAGAACAGAAATTCGTTCTTTTGCACTAAATTCCGGCTTTCAAGACGGACAACCAAAACACATGCTGTGCGGTGCAGGGTACACGGCTAACCGAATCATGATATTCAGCTCAAGCTGATGTGGAGACAATCTGCTGATTTGGAGAGCGCCCTTGTCTGAAACTTTACCAAGGGCTTCTTTACATGCAGAATCTGCTGCACATACGTATCTTCTGTTGCATTTTTTTTCCGAAGTGGTGCTTCGACTGTATTCTGCCTCATGAGCTTCGGAAGTCCACCCGTTGAACTGCCGGACCTCGAGATTTACTGTATTTATTTTTTCATTTGTTTGTTTGTTTGTTTGTTTGCTTGCTTTATTTTGTTTTGTTTTGTTTTTTCTCGTTTGCTTGTACAAACGTTGAGAAGTTAGCAGCGATTACCTTGTCATAAGTGACACACATGTTGATGAGTCACCTCCAATCCACTACAGTCTATGCACATGTCTTCAGATAGTGCTACTGGTTAACAATGTGGAGCTATCTGAACTCATCAGATGGGTCAATTCTCACGGGTGACACTAATGCAGTCTCATTACATCAATCTTCCAGAAGATATGCCTACGTATGAACCCTTGGAATCAATCACCCTAAAACAACAATAACACAGCACTGACAGCTGATCCAGCTTTTATACGCTGACTCTAGAGCTGTCTATTTCGCCCCTGCTTGGAACATAGAGAGCTGCGGGACAGAAATAAATGATTTTTTTGCTACAGAAATCTAGGTTTGACGTCCTGGCTGCGAGTATTACCCATGCTTCGCGATTCGAGGTTTTTATTTGTACAGTTCTAGCTCCACGAACATTTCTTAATGGCATTGACATTGTGACTGTCTGGAAGCAGCACGGCTCTGCGAAAGGAGCGACTTCTTGCGTAAAGCTTCCTTCCGAATCCGCTCAGCTAATTCCTTCCTCAATGTTTCCCTCCTTACGCTTGCCTACACCATTTTGCAGTGGTAGGGTGCTTAATATTGCACGTTGTTGAATATTCAGAGCCACGTAAGATTATCATTTGATTGGTGGGCAAACATGGATTTCGAGACACTAACCGAAGAGAGATCTAAGACCATTCCGTCTGTACTTTTCCCAGTTTCACAGCTGAGAGGCCTGAACTCAGTTTCACAGTGCCCAGGGCTGCACGAGGACACGGAGTCCGAGTCAACATTTTTCCGCGCCGCGCTCGGTTTGTAAATAAAATCAGGGTATCTTCGAGCACTCTGCACTTGACAGCACAATTAGAGAATTAAACACAGGGATTACCTCGACCCACAATCTTTCCAATCAAGTCATTGTCGCGAAACATTATTAAATTCTCGAAGGATTTTTTTTAATAGTAACGGTGATCGTGCCTGGTAACGGAAACTGTAATTTACCTCCTCAACATTCTCAATGATCGGGAAGTTGGCGATCGATTGTGGATCAGCTTTAGAACATGGTGGCGTGGTTCTGATATCGTCTACCTCTCCAACACCTTCCAAACTCCTAAAATATCTCACTTGCTTCTTCCTTATTGCTGTCCTATTCAAAAGCCGAATTACTAAGTCAATTTTATGTAAAATCAGTTTGATTAAGTATAATTAGTCAGTTTTATTTTATTTTATTGTAAGTATATGAATTAATCTGATATCCTACAGTAGAAGTGAAGCTAACAGAAGACGTATTTTATCACTCTGTTCCCCCGAGGATGCCAAAGCCCTTAACAATTATTCACTGAAAGACCAAAGTTTGGTGGTTTGTAATGGAACACTAGTCACCTATTCTATGGGAGTATCGGCGATCCTGCTGCTTTTCTTGTTCAAGTTGAAGCAGATAGTCTCGTGAATCTCCATATTGTAACTGATCCTTACTCACAGGTTTCTGGACACATGACACGTCAGTAATTTCATATTGATACTTGATCTGTGAAAGTATAATGAGTGCACAGCAATCCAGAAACGCTCTATTTCAGGGCCTACACTGGAATACAATCACAAGTCCACCCTTCGATACGTGTCACATGGTGTATTAGGTGCAAATGCAGAAAGAGGATTGACCTGGGGGATTTTTAACTTTGATTCCTTGAACCTCGGCTTGGTGGATTCACTCACTTCAGCGGTTACAGATCGAGCATGGTCTTCTCTCTGATAACTTAAGTTGGCGGCTTCACCTTCTGCAATGATGGTTTGCATAATATCACCCTTCAAGCATTTTTTTAACCTTACTTCATATGCGGACTGCACATTGTTGTTAACACTACCACCTATTTCATTTTCCTTGCTGAAGTCTGCTTTGCTCGTCTTCGACAAAAGCTCAGTTGCTAGAGCAGAAAGCCCCTGCTGCTGAGCGTGTGTAGTGTTCAAATGCGATTTCTGGGTCATATCTGTGATCTGAGCCTCAGCCCCCGAAGTGGACCGACTGAACACTTGGTATTCATCACATGTAACAGGCAACGGCATAAGTATGTTGCTCATCGTCTGTTGCAATGGCACCACGATTCCAATATTCCCGGGAATCAAGGAGGATTGTTGACGCATCATGCTTAGAGCCTGAACCTCAGATTTCTTCATCCTTTCTACAGCTGAGGAACTTCTCCACCATCCCAAACACTGGAGCGTATAAATAATGGAATCAACTATTAGTACAACGGAAACTTTACATGAGATCACTTGGCTCCAGAACCTCAACATTCAAATCAGAAATTATTCAGGTACGCTTCATCTAGTGAGCGTATAATTTTGATAATGAGTGGAAGGTACCCATTTTTTAACGGGACGACCTGCACTGGCTCTCTTTTGGTGACCTACACATGAGAAACACATGTCAAACCAAATTTATTTCAGGAATCAAACGAACTTGCTAATCCTCACGATTTTTAAAAATTTCAGAACTGGTTGTTTCGAACTATGCGACAAGAGAAGTTTCATGCACATAATTGCAATGTTTTAGACTATCTACACAAGAGCCTTTGTAATGAACAACCTAGTTATGGAATCAACTTGGATACGAGGTAAGGATGTTTCCAACATGTGGATTCTTTAAAGGTGTTGTAATAGAGGAATTGCAGTTCGGTTGCTTGTCATTCGGCTGAGCCACCACATTATTCTCTAAACTTTTACTTGAACAAAGGAAATATCAGCTATGTGTGTAAACTACTGCATTTCGATCAAATGAAGCAATACATGATGTGAGAAGGTATGGTGGATCCAACAAAATACATCATTAGCAGTCTGCATGGCACCTTTCTTGTTTGCTGTGAACTTTTCTGTATTTCATCTTGCCGTATCCTATCGAGATAGTTCTGGACATCCTTCTGAGAGCGTGCCCATTTAAGACCCTGCTTTGCAAACTTAACTTGTTCTGCTGGGTTGGAAGCCTCCTTCTTTAAAAGTGGCTTCCATCTTTTCATAGTTTCAACCGCTATCTTGTTTTTTCACCTTGTTGATCCCCTCAACTCTTGTGATCTGTATCTTTCACAGATATTCTTGAGCCTTCCAACAGAATATATCAAAATTTCATTTCTTTGATCTCCTTCAAATGAGCATTCAAAAGCCTTCCACGAATAATCCTTCGAGGTGAGAAATTATGTATTTAAGAACCCATATCAGAACAACTTTGGATATTTAAGATTTATATTTCTATTATTAAAAATATACGAACCCATTCAAACCATGTACAAATTATTGTAATTATACGTAGCGTACATCATACGAACCTGTTTATCAGTTGTAAAAGGCTCGTGGCAGGAATAACATGGTAACTGCCGCTCAGAGGTGGGTCCAAGTAATTAACTATAAGTTTGGACATTACGTTCGCCTCTAGATGTGGAGTGTCCTGTCCATCTGAAAGGAAACATGCAGGGCGAATTGAAGATTCAATGAGGAGTTTTGTTTACTTCAACTTCTATCATACATACGCAAAGTAATTCGAGGGCGTTAAAACCATGTAAATGAGGTTGTTTTAGCTGTTGTCTAGGGTTTATGGATCTATGAATTGATAGGCAGGAGATCACAGTAGAAAATGCGCGGATGGTCAATTGATACAATAATTATTCTCTATGTTCTGACATGCCCTACTTTTAAAATCAAGAGAACCTTCTGAGGCCTCAAGAAACCATTTAGATTAGGTTCTACTGAGGACGACACTTCACCAGACTAGTATCTTAAAAACCCTGATTTATATCATGGAAGGAACTCTTGCCAATACTCAACATGCTTTGACGAAGAGAAGGAGTCAGAATTGTTCTGTGGAAAAATACATGGCACTGCACAGCGCATACCGTTACTGCCGATCTTTAGTTTTAAAAAAGAAGCGGGCATGTCTGCTGAGGCGGAAAGGAATTCATTATTCAGCAGTTAATAAAACAATCAAAACCCTGGCTGCTTAATAATTCCAGCTCACTTTTCACCGTCGCTTCTTCTACAATCGTCTATCCCCTCTGAAAGAAAGGATGATGCAAACGATATTCTTACCCGAATCAGTCAAACTGGAACTTTCCATGGGCACAAGTAACACCAGCTAGCTTTTCCCGATGCCAAACAAACATGGGCAGGAGGAACTTACCGCGGACATTTCTGGAATTACGGAGACATCGCGTGCTGATGATTTGAATAAATTTCCTAACAAACGACCGCGTCAATGCGAACCACCTGATTCACCTCATGCAGCTTCCGAATGGTCGTGGTGAAGATGAAGATACGGTGTTGCGGGAAATGAAAAGAGCGGAGGAGATATGAAGGACACCATGGTGGTCCATGTCCACCACTATCCGGATGCCTCCTCAATAAGCTAGGGTTGTTTTCCTTCATATCCCAAAGACCCATTCGTTTCAATCCCACGATTCGTTGCCACTGCATGCACCACAAATCACGTCATTCAACACCATCAACAAACTCTCAACTTCAGGTGCTGAACACACAGAATTACTGAAGATATGCGCAGAATTGACAAAGACGATGTTGTGTGAGACTGCAGAGATATCTTCAGAACCAACTATCCTTTCATCTCCGAGAGAATGTTGGTTTCTCGTCAAGTGCAGCTGCAGATAAGGAGTCGGTAAATGAGACCCACCAGCTCATTTCAGACTGTATGGTGTCATGGTCTAGTGGAGCTCTCATGAACAGAGATATCTAAAGCAGTGTGAAAGTTTGTAATTCATAATGTGGTGGATTTGTTTTTGTTGGACATAAATTGGTGTCAAATTACACAGAAGTAGTTAATCGGATGTGAGAATATCTTGCTTTAAAGATGCTAAAGTGTGTTCTAATAAAAGTGAGACTTATTAGAGTTCTAATTTTTTGGCTTATTGTCACTATCTAAATTTAACTTAGCAAATTTTCAAAGCTCCTTGCTCAAATTTTGTTTTAGATATAGATCCTTTTTATGAGTATTTATTTGTTTAAAATTTCTTTCTTTTTTGAAGAAGAAAAGAATAAACACCATTTCCATTAATTAAAATAAATAAATAATTGGTAAAGAAAAGTCTTTATATTGGTGCTAACAAGTTGATTTGGTTATTAGAAGCAATCTAAGTTGCCTCTTTTGGGTTCAAAAATAGTTCAATATTATCTATTATTCCATTAGCTTGACTTCTTTATTTTTTTCTTTCTAAACTCTACATCAATCAAGAAATTGATTTGTATATAGGTTTTATATAATTTATAACAACAATAAAGTCTCAAGTAATCCATAAGTTTGAAAGAATCATTTAGAAGATTTTGTAGAATTTTGAATGTTTGGTTATCAAGATGCACTTAATAGTTAGGTTGTTTATAAATATGCTTGTTGGATGAGGAATAGAAATTGACTTGTATCATATTGTTGTGTTATGTAAAATCTAGTTTGAGAATGTAGCAAATATTTAGCTATAAAAATAATTTATCTAATCTTTAAAGTTTTTGTTTTTATTTATTTACTTATTTACTTTTGAATAATTCAGAATCAAATGAAAAATTTAGAAACAAATGTCTTGACAAACTTGATCCTCTTAGAAATCCTAAACTCAATCAATTCTAATTTCTATCAACTCTGAATAGCAAACCTAAGTAATGATAAACAATCCAAACAAAATCCTAAATAAATCTCCAAAAAATCTTAGATATATCTTTTTAAATCTTACAAAAATCCTAAATATATCTTATCAAATTATAATCAATCTTCAAAAAAATTCTAAATAAATCATAAACAAACCATATTACACCCTAACAAACTCCTAAATAAATCATAATAAAACTCTAAGTAAATTCTAAAAAAACTTGAAAATAGTTCTATCAAATTCTATTAAAATCCTAAATAAAATTTAATAAAATTTTAAAGAAATAACAAATAAGTATAAATAAATCTTCTAAAATTTTAATAAAATATTAAATAAATTATAATTTAATTTTAATAAAATTCTTAAAAAATCCTATCTAGATACTAAAAAATCTCTATATAAAAAATAATGATATTATAAGAAAATCCGTAAAAAATCTTAAGATCATTCTATCAAGTTTTAACAAAATTATAAGTAAAATAAAACCCTAAAGAAACTCTAAGTACATCATAATTAAATCCTATTAAATCCTATTAAATCCTTATATAAATCTTAATTTAATTTTAATAAAATCTTCAATAAATTCTTACCAAATCTTATCAAAACCTAAGTAAATTCAATCAAATCTTTAAATAATCCTAAAAAATTTTAATCAAATCCTAAAAAAAATTAAGTTAATTCTAGTAAAATCGTATTAAATTCTAATAGCAACATTAAAACTCTATAATTTTTTTAATAAATGGTTAATATTTCTTTAAAAAAATTATATCTTTTATTTTATTAATTTATAAAAAAATTAAAAAGAATTAAACTTACAAATTGAAAAAAAAGACTAAAAATAATTTTCAAGTATTAAGCAACTTTCTTTTCTTATCTTAATGTTAAACATCCAAATGTAAGATCTAATTCTTTTATTATTAAGATGAACTCAAAATATGGTTTAAACTTGTAATTCATGTCAATAACTAATCTACAAAGTTTTATCTCAATCCAAGAGGTGGGTCTTTATAAATTGCTTCTATCCTTATTGATCCTAAAACTATTTATTACTAATTTCTCAACATACTTGAATTTTAATAATTTTAAATATAATCAACCAACTAAGTTAAAATTTAAAATATATATTCAATATAAAAACATGTACAAACGTTTAAAAATTCAATTGCAGATCTATAACAAAGTTGGTAGTTTTGTCCAAAATATAGATCCTAATGTATTGCTTAATAACAATGTTATTAAAAACAAACATTTATTATTAAATAAGATTATTTTTGTATATTTACGTAATGAAAGAGTTAAAATAAACACAATCTTTACATACTTTTATATTTTAAATTTGTTAATTAACAAAAATTCTCTCTTATTTGAAAAATTTGATGACATTCAAATGACTTTATATCCATTAAACGTGAACTTTTAACACAAGACGTGAGTCCAGTCGGGCATACTGTGTGCACACATAAACAGGAACATACACCATATAAAATTTAAAAGTATCAAGACAGAGCACATTGTTGCAGCTCATTCGGAGTAAGATTCTGATCAAAAAATGAAATGAGCATCTGCTATCAGCTGTTGCAATTAGACATACCTATAGTCATCAAGAGCGTGGTACCCTTAGATGTGGAGGCATCGTTGCTTTCAAAAGGCTATAGCTTGTTCAAAAAGCGAGATGACGCAGCTCCCAGCTCCAATTGCTTGTAATACAGCTACCACATGCAGGGCACATGCTTCTCACAATTCCAACTCGAGACCAAGGCGAACAAACGACATCAACCCTCAAGAGAACCCAATGAAGCATTTGCTTGATCTAATCGAATTTTAACGCCATGGAAAGATCTGCAGGAACTGTCCCACTTCCATTTTCTGCTCATGCAACTGCTGAAATGCTTGATCATACATGTGGACGGTATCCCGGTGCTTTATGTTTTCCCTTTGCAGAATATCCAAGTCACCCTCCACCTCCGCCCGATCTCATTCCGTGAATGCATCCTTCTTCAATCTGCGAGCCTACCAGAGCTACCGCCATCTCCCCTACCGCAACCACCGAACTCCACTACATGAACCTCCTCTATATCTCCTCCCCTCGCTCTAATTGTAAACCACCCCACCCCAAGTAGAAAATTCACACCACCGCACTGACCTCTAGACTACCACTTATCAGACTCAAATTACACAATCTATTCCGTAACATTCGATTCTTTGCTCTATTGTGATGGCTTTCGAGCAAGAGACGTCTTTCAAGTTCTAGGCTCAAGCCCTAGTCATGAGATGCCCTGAGATATAAATAGACTTGGTAGCTGAATCCTATGCTTGTCTACTTACCAGTCCAAAGTTGCACTAGACTCTGGAATTCAGCAAAATGGGATAGCCACTTTACAAGCGAGTGATCCAGCTGACTTGGTTCCCTACGACTTGCACATTTGGTCACACCGCAAGGAACGTAGTGAGAGCATTCGATTTAAGAAAACTGTTGGAAGGTCCGGGGTGTCTCATTATTGTCATACTCCACGTCTACATTTTCGACTGATATCCTCTGAATGCAGATGTGGACATAATCCAGAGTTGATCCCACGAGCAACTAAATGACAAGCACAAGTCGTTAGAAGAGGCACTCCCAAAACAAAGATGCACGTCACAAGAGGAAGAAATAGTATCGACGGCTTCAATTTACATGAAAGTTACAATAAGCACCACATGGGTAGCAGCAAATTGACTTGCGTGGATTTAGCATTTGCAGAAGCATTACTAATGTGGTGAAAGTTTCAATAAGCTTTACTCTCAGACCGAGCAGACACTAATGGTGTACATTCTAATTTAGACATACGCTAAAAGAAAACTCAAAGCACGGGGCTATATATATGTATATGCTCCGAAAGTGCTTAGGCACGTTGAACTTTCTCATTAGAATCTAAGAAAGGAATCTGCCTCTAAAGACAGCGTGTGATTATAACCCTTCAGACAGAATGTGTCTGAAACAGATTAATCACAGTCGTGTTGACCAAAGCAACCTAGATTTAGCCTACTTGACATTTTGGATTGCATTTCTAGGCTGCCTTGGCGAGTATATCTGTCCTACAAAACCTATGATGGCACTATGCTCAGCCCTAAGAAAAATAAAGAGAAAGATGGTTAGCTTTCAACAAAGCAAAAATCACACAACACCAAGAGCACACTCGATTAAGAAATCCACAGAGCCTCTGGTAGAGCTGAAGGTTCAAAGATGAAGTTGAACGCTGATCTTCAAAGAAGCTTAGAGCTTCCTGAATTCGAAGTCGCCTGCATTCTTCACATTGCCTGAAGCTGAAAATGATATCAATGTCATGCTCCAAATTGGCTCAGCCACAACTTGCTTTTGAACTTTTCTGGCACTTGGAGTAGGCCATTTACTCCACATGTGCTGTGTCAACTCATAAGAGCAACAGTTTAAACCTCTTTCAATTTCGAAATGCCATTCACTTCATGCATTGGGCTTCCATTGACTGGAGTTGAAGTTGTACTAACAAGTCTGTTGCTACTTGACAGCCTTTTCACGCCACTGCTTACCAACCTGCTAGCCTTGACAACCCCCGAACCTACAATACCCACACTCGACCCTACAGCTCCAACACCAGTACCCACAAGCTTTGATCCACCAGAACCAACAGCGGAAATTCCTGAGCCCACCATCTTCACACCTCCTCCCACGGCATCCATAGCGCCTCCAATTACACCATTGTTCATTTGTTCTCTTGCTTTGAGCTCGTTCTGCTCGGCTAGCATAGCAGCCACCTGCTCCTCTTTGGTGTAAGGGTGGTATTTGAGCTGGATGTGTGTTAAAATAGTCAAGTTAGTGCGAATTGCGTACACAAGAAATGGAAACACAACCTAATGCCTGAGAAATAGCAATCTGATGAATAATAGCTATTTTGAAGAGTAATTATTGCATGAGGAGATGCACGGTAACAAAAACCCGCATGTTAATCGGAAAGGGCAGAAACTTGGTATAATTTGCACGATGGCACTTACACTAATTGTGATGGAACCACGATCACTTTTGTCCTTAACCTTCGCAGTGTCCAAAGATTTGAGCAGCTTTTGAGTAATCTCAATTTCAGTGTCTGGTTTCAAATCATGTAGCGGCACTGAAGCTATGCCAAGTTCCTTATCTGCTCCAATGTCCTCGTCCATGACCTGTTCAGCATCATTGGGATGCGATTACATAACGGTCATGACTCACCAACATCCTCAAAATCAGCAACAAAATACGTCAAGGAGGCCCTCGATACCTTTAAAATTACCCAATACCCCGCACAGCAATAATGCAGCGATTAAACCGTCTAAAAATAGAATTATATAAAATCATGTATATTACATCTTTACTTTTGTTTGTTTGTTTGTTTGTTTTTTTTTTTTTTTGCTTTCTTTTCTTTTCTTTGTCATTTAACACTCTCACTAGGTGCGTACCTCGGATCTACTATGGAAACAGAAGCAAATGTAGAAGCACAAACCTGCAGTATGAGAGTCTGAGTTTCAGTGTCCTCGACATTAAACAAAAAACTCTCCATCCATTCCGGATTCAGATTGCTGTGAATGACTTTAGTTTTTTTCTTGAAAAGCACTCGTACAAACAGTAAAACGTAAGGATCTGATCTTCCAACAGTCTCCTTGTTTTTCAGTTTTTCAGCCTTAAATACTTTAACTTTCAACTGGCCTTGGAGCTTTAAACCTAAGTCACTGGAGCCAATCACTATAATGTTAGAATCACCCTAGGATGAATTCTTTGAAGACGTAAGTCGGGACATTCCGCAACACATGTCAAAGACTCCCTTCTCCAACTTCGACAAATTTATCAGTGTAAAAGGTATAATCTTTGAAGTGATCATCAAAAGCACCTAACCTGGTCGCAAAACATACTACAGTCTGGCTCAAATAGATATCATATAACTCGGAGGCTTGCACATGCAAACTGCATTGACAATTTCATTCCAGTCCAACAGGAAGGACATGAGCAAAACCAACCTCATGATGTCTGCAGGTGTATCGCCAACAGGAACTACGATTCTGTGTGGCCACTCCACTTGATCCGCAACAGTACTGTTCACCAAATCCTTCACAGTAGAAACATACCATTTATTGAAGGCAATATCTAAAAGCATTGTCCAATACTTCTGAAGGCATGTGAATGATACAAGCTTAAAACTTTTAAATTTGACAATACATAGGTAAAATTGAACAGAATTCACGTTGAAGAGCCGCGCAAAAATCAATTCTATGTCTGCATGTGACAGTATCAGACTAGCCCCAACAACACCTTCTAACGTAAAATGCTTAGTTCAGGTATCCACCTCAATCATGTCACCCAGGCCAGGGAGGTTAGCATTGTTTCCTCCGATAACATTCAGTTTGTAACCAATTTGAAATTTTGGCTGCATGGAGAGAGCACAACCTGTTACGTTAACAAAATAGATAGAATCATTCATATCTAATCGCTTGTCTGGTACTTCTCCAAGAAGCGATTAACTGAATCACACGCTGTCACAACACACCGCTCCTGACTTTGAACACACACTTGACAATGAAATCTCCTTTAAATAGTTCAAGGGGCCAGTGATAACTTACCTTAGGCAGAAGAGCGACAACAAGGGCGGAGATACACGGAATCACTTCTGAAAGTTGGAAGATAACACGAATTGTTGCGAAGAAGGAAAGATTTTTCAACTGCACTTTAACAAGTACAGACCGTTAGTTCACAATTATAACCTCCGAGTTTGTGCCAACATAAGTGTGACGATTCTTCATTAACGACCACCATAATAGAAGAACAGCATCGATCACGAATGATTCGCACAACTGCTAGATCAACAAGGCTTGAGCATGAAGCTGCATTGTTAAAATCCTGTAGTTTTCACTCAGGTCTACGGTTACAACCCTTACAAGATGTTTCATTAGAACAGCAGCATAAACCTTGAAATAAAAACAAAAAAATAACTTGTCAATAAAATTCAAGGCACCTGAACAGGCAGTTTGGTTCTCATAAAACCTATGTTGAGTACAATTTCACCACTGCCACCCCACTTGAACTCCATATCCATGTGCACTTGACCTTCACGAAACCTCTGTATTCTTACCCCTATATAGGTGAATAAATTATCATCAGCATCAACCTGTAGTTCAATAAATTGGGATGAATACCGTAGTATACTTCAGAGACATTGCACAAAGCAAGATCTTACCATCAATTTTGGGGGGCGTTTTTCCTAGGTGAAACTTGTCCAGCGTGAGCGATGAAATCTCAACAGGCTTATACGCCACTAACATTGGTCCGAGCCTCATCTTCACCTCCTTTTCAGTGGCCTAAACATACAACCGTGGCAATACCTCTTAGTCACCATCTGTGACTTTCGTGAACCCGCTTCAGAAAATGAGACTAAGCGAATCATCCCAATCAAACCAAATTAGTGATTCATTGAAGAAACATTAATTGCAAGAGCATTAATGTATCAATAGTGAGTCCAGATTAATGCACATACCTCTACTATAGACGGCCAGAACTTATCCAGCGTTTTGTTCAACCATTCCACCTGCCAAAATGTGTTAAAATCCACTGAGAATACAAAGCAGAAAGATTGAGACGTGAAAGTTTTACGTAGACCTTCAGCTTCAAATCATACGTTAACTAACAATATGCGCAAAAGCAAAGTTACTTGAAGCATTAGAAATAAAACTTCACTTGCAGACACAAGTTGCTGGTGCAAGTCGCTAGGTTGATACCTTTTCAAAGGTTAAGAACGAAATATGATTTGGTAAGCTTTGTTCACAAAGCTTTTTGAGGTCCATTTCGTCTATGACGTTCAAAAGCTCTATGCCAGTAGCCTGTGGATTAAAAGATCAAAAACAATTATGGTCTCAGAACTGTCCTGACCTGAGGTATCAATCCCTTAAATGGCTCCCAGGTGTGATGGATAATTTATATTTCAAAAGACAGCTGTACTCGAGGAATATTTTCCACATCGCAGTTGAAGGTTGACTCTAGACACAATCGATTTGAACAATTCTACATCTACAAACCTGAATTCGCAGAGCCAGAAAATCATGAGAACCAAACCAGACTTTTTACGAGAAAGTTTCTTAGGCGGAGAACCTTCTGAATTCTCTTCTTGTTTCGTTTGTCCATCATATACCTCCACCTGGCAATAATTACCACTCCCACCAACCATCCGATTATAAGCCCACTAAGCACCATCGTGACAGACCTTTTGCTTGCTTAATTCATACACTGAGGTCCCTGATAATAAAATATCTGTTATTCAGCTCCTTGACTTCGTCACATTCACTTCAGGTGCCCCTACCTGCTTCATTACTGGTACCATAACTAAAAGCAAAAGCTACCTTCCATCCACTACCACCATACATACGCGATTTCTGAATACATCCACTTAATCATGTGAAGTGTGCTCTGTACTCATGTTGGCCACGTGGCCATAGGCACAAAAATAGCTCAGTAGTCGCCGATACGTAGTAGCTCAAATTTATAATCCTTCGTCAGAAAGGAGATCTCGACAGAAGTGCCCTTTCCTGCAGAAGACAGAGGCATGTGGAGAAACAATTGAGAATAACAGGCTAAGTTCACAACGATAATCCATCCCACAATCAAAGAACAAACGACTGTAACAGTCAGTAGCTACACTACATGCAACTTTAAGTCCTCTTAAGAACTACGAATTCCGCCCAAATTGCACTAATACTCCTGCAAACCCCTACCAACACCGCATTTTATTACAATCAACTCTGAACCTATATCACACGCTCATATCTCAGTAAATAAGCGTCAAAAATAGAACGGAACTCACAACCTAAGTACGCACACCTTCAACACAATATTCCCATTCCAGGTGCAACGCGTTCGGACAAGTCACGAACACTGTGTGAGATTTCAAATACCTCAGAATCTCGCTAAAAATGGGAAGGGATAAAAGGAAAACAGGGAAACGCGTCGAGTAATCGCTCTTCGGGACTAAGATCCCGTTCTACGAGCTTTATCCCGATCACGAATGCTATGTTCTGGCGCATACCTCGAGATTGCTCAACACACGTACGCAGCACCACAACAGTAGTGAGGGTTCTGACGGACGCTCTTCCTGAACGAGCCTTGCAAAAACCGCATCAAGCGCGCGACGAGAGCAGCGACAGAAGAGCTAGTTAGAAAGGTGAGTGTACAGTGCAGACACTGCAGCAAAGATGCAATTCCGATGAGCCCCGATGCGCAAAACACAGTCAATCAAACCGCACCTATATCACCGAAATTCCCGTTTCGCGAGCGCTACCTTTTGCGCTTTCGCCCTCCCTTCCTTTCCAGGAGTTCGAACGCAGCTTTCCATTTCCATAGCGCGGCTCCCCTTGTCGTATTGCCCCCCACCCGACCCGCTCTCTCCTCTGATTCTCTGTGATTCTATTCACACCTGTTTCTTGTGAGATTAAGGGGTTTAAACTCCTTCAACTCCAGCATTCTAAATTCTGGTTTTTCGCCTAACCTCTAAATATTCAAGCATCTCCTTACAAACATGTGTACGTATGTGTACGAATGTGTGTATATGTATGCATATTTTTTCTTTTTTCCTTTTCTAATTTTATTTATTATATTTGAAATAAGATTTCATATTATTTTAAAATAAATAATAATAATTTTTTTTTTTGCTCAAGCAACTTAAAGAAATCCTTTCTCCTACATATGTTTTTTAAAATTTCTGAAAATTTTGAAAGTGGTTTTGATTCTTTTAAAAATTTCATTTCTAACATTGATTTTGAGTGGCAAAGATTGAGTTGAGTATATTAAACAATCAAAAAAAAAATATTTAATTTATTTTTATTTTAAAAAATCATAGTTGCATTGAGTCCCTTGATTTGCATCAAAAGTTACATGATAAAGCAAGTTATTGATGTGTAAGAGTATACAATACAACAAAAAAACCACAATGCAAACAATGTAAAAAAGAGCAGACAAACACATTCCATCAAACCCACACAAAAACTATATAAAATGATATTTAAAAAATTCACATGTTTATGCAAAAATAATTTAAACAATAATGTACATACATGATTAAAAACAAAAAGAAATTAAATAAACTTAGAACCATTAATTTGTAACAAAAATGAAATATCAAATACAACTACATCATTTTATTGCTTTCTTGGTGGTATGTTATTAAGTTTCTTAACTATTAAGAGTGAAATCAGTTAGCTTTTGGTGAGTTTGTTTGTTTGTTTTTTTGTTTTTGTTTTTGTTTTTTTTAAAACAAATCTCAAAATAATACAAATATATTGTTTATTTTGGGCTTTTTGATATTACATTAATTAATATAACAAAAATTTTGATCATTTTTAGCCTTAGTTCTTTTGCCTAGCATACCACATGTAATTATATATATATATATATATATATATGTGAGCACTTGACAATCATTGTAAGCTTGAGGTTATAATTCCATGTTCATGAGATATTGTCATGAATATGAATATATATATATATATATATAATTTAAAGTAAAAATAATTGTAAAGTAATCTTGAAAGCTTCCATACAAAAATCGTTTTTTCCCTTACAAAGTAGCTAATAATGTAATTCAAAAAAATATTTATCTATGTGAATGAACTTATATTATATATATATATATATATATATATATTCATATTCATTTTTTTCACTCACATACGTATATATAGCTAATAGCATTATCATTTAAAATTTTAAAATATATGTCACTATTTCATACATCAATATATACTGGGCTATATATGTTCATATTCACATGCTAAGAAAATTCGAGTATTGATTCAACTTGATTTCTATACAATTCAGTAACATAACTCTACACTTTTATATTCATGTATATATAAATATTTACATTTATTGAATGACTTGTTACTCATATTGATAAGTCTAATGTGCTCTGCTGCTGGGCAGGTGTAGTAAAGGCAAGAAGAAAACGGCTTAATAAATTAAAATGTAGAAAAATTATGCAAAATACAAAGAACGTCTCCCTGACTCAACCGTTCCCAGACCCATCACGTTCTCAGTCAGAGAGAGAGTGCTTGGGAGCCGAGAACGGGTACGGAAACGTTGACTGGGCAAATGTGGGTGCCGGCGGCATATAGCCATGGGGCCCAGGAGACAGATTCCAAGAGGAATCCGCCCGAGGGGATCCCCGGCAGCTTTGGGGCCCCCTTCCTTGCTCACCCGCAGGGTGAGAGAGAGAGAGAGAGCAGCAACACATACCTCGTGTACACTGACCTCACAACCACGCTCCCACGGTTTAACAGTGACTCCTGCCAGATGGACGTGGGGGCAGTACTGCCGTGGTGATGGGTGCCGAGGTTAGCCAAGTTCCGTGCCCATTCACGTGGTGGCGGCAGGGTCCCCGGACATGATATTTTGGCGAGACTGGTTCCATGATGTAATTGTGCTTTGTAGCAGTGCTTCCGTGCTGGATTGATTGACCATATTCTAGGTTCTATGTTAGAATCCGTTTCATATTCGGGCCAGCCTACCCGTTACTTTAAATACCCTCGCAGAAAATTGTATGTTTAATCAGAAGGCAAGCAGGGAGCCCATGATTGATGTACGCTGCACCGTGCACGGCTATGTGGTGCGTGCAGTCTCCACCTCAATGATCCATTGGGTTATTTCATATCCTAGCATACTCTGCACATAGTTAAATAACCAAACATTGTCATGGATTTTTTTAAAAAAGACTATAACATACCATTGTTTAAATACCAAAAATAATTTGTTTCTTCTATTATTCATATTTGAATAGAAATCCTCTCCCATGTGTGATGTGATACATATGCTTTGTCGTATTATAATTGGCATCGTGTTTGTCACTTACGTGGATGTACTTAAGTTTCTTCAATTGGATGCTATATTAGGAATTAATGCTTATATTTGGTGATATTTCCTTACATGAATTCTAACTTGTTAATAATAAGTTTAAAGGTCAAATTTTCTTTAATAATTGCATGTATAAATGTAAGTTGAATATTTAGTAAGTTATAATAGCATTGGCAAAAACTATTATGATATATAGTAGATGGCAAGTTGTAATAGTAATAACAAAAATTATGATGGCATGTAATGAATGGCAAGTTATGGTAGTATCAAGGATGAAAACTTAAAGAAGATACGTAAATAAGTGAGAAATGAATCAAAGAGAGATAACAAACTAGAAATAAAAAAGTAAATATATTTAGTAAGAAACTCAAATGGCTATTACCAATGGCTACAAAATTAGAAACTCCTAAAACTAGACTAGAAGTAAGAAAGGAGTTGACAATAGTGAAGAAGTCTTCACTCTTGCCTTTATATACACTATCTACCTAAGAACAATGTAATAACATTCTATAGGACCTCCAACACATGTTGAAGGTCTAGACATGTTGCTGGACACATGTCTTAACTTATAAGGCATGTTTTCTATAAGTGTTCTATATCATAAGCTTGTACTACAAACTATCAATATATGTGATACATGGCTAACTTGTTGGCCAAGTTTCTAATCTATCAATCACTTATAGACATGTATAAAGGTGAAACCATGTGTAAAAAGCTTTTAGAAACAAACAATGGATTTTAAATTGAATTAGTTGGCTATTAATTCTCTATTTTTTTAGCGCTACAAATACACAAAAATTACAAACAAAAATAGAAGGTCGAATACAATCTTTTATACACTATAGTTCTTTTATAGCAAAGATTTATTATCATTTATATTAATTTTGATGGATGTCATCCATCAACTTTATTTGCTGTATTTATAAGATTCTTTGTTGGCTCCCATATGCATTCACTAATATCATATTTATACCAATTAATAAGATATTCCAACTTATTTAGATGCCCTTTTAAGTCTAAGACTTCTTCTACATTAAATTCTTTATTCTTATCTAATTCTATAAGAATAGATGGCATTTTTCTTCTTTCTAAGATATCCACTATCTTATATGGCTCAAAAAGAAATATATGAAATAAAAAATGAATCTTCATAAGATATAGTAGATGTAATCAATAGGCAATAAAATTGATTTGTTTGCAAATAGGAAATAATTTAAGCCTATAATAATCTAACTTATAAGAAGAGTATTTAATCTTGATATTGCAATGAAGTAATTCTACGTTGTTGCCAATGTACAATTGATGCTGCTCCTTGCAACAGGCATTTGCATTACTCTTTTGTTGTTCTTAAGCTTCTTTTAATTGTACCATCATTATTGTATGGATCTTAGATAAATGATTTGCCAATTTTTTTGTTGTAGGATTATCAACTTTTAAAAAGTTAATAACATCAAGTGGTCAATGATAATCATAATTAGCAAAGAAAGATGTTTGTTGCATAGAAGGATGTATTGTATTATTATAAGCAAACTCTGCCTATGACAAAAGTATTATCCAATTATCTTGTTAGTAGTTGATGTTATATCTTAAATACTATTCTCAAACTTGATTTATATGCTCTATCTATCTATTTGTTTAAAGATGAAAAGTTTAAGAGAGTTTTATATCTACCTTTAGAATTGTAAAAAAGGTTCTCCAAAATCTTAATACAAATTGAATCTCCATATTTAGTATAATATCCTTAGACAATCCATGATAGCAATAGATGTAATTAAGAAAAAGCTTAGCTATTTTTTTTTGTTTACTTGTGAAAGATTTTGTATATGGTACAAAATGAGCCATCTTTGTAAAAAAATTGTCTATCTCAAATATAAAATCATACAAACTTAAAATTAGAAGATTTGTGATAAAATCCATAAAAACAAAAGACCATGGTTGTTTTGCAATAAGTAATAGCTAAAGAAATTTATAAAGATGATGATGAGGAGTTTTTGATCTTTAAAAAATATCACGTAATTGTACAAAGTCTTTGATTGCCTTCTATATTGGAAACTACTAAAAATATGTAGAGATGAGTTCATAAGTCTTATTGTATCTAAAAAATCTAATATTATATTACATGAAGTCTATTCAACAATGGATACCTAATTATAGAAGGAAAAATAGAATTACAATAAGATAATCTTAAAAACTTTAATAGAATCCTAAAAAAACTTTATTAAATTATAATAATATTAATAAATCTTTAATTAAATCCAAAAAAAATCAAAAATAAAAATTCTAATGGAATATTAATCAAATTCTAATATGACCTTCAAAAAATCCAAATAAAAATCTAAATAAATCTTATCCATATGTTAATCAAATCATAAATCCTAATCTTAGATCAAATCTTAATCAAATCTTAATCAAATCTTAAAAAAATTCTAAAAAAATT